CCCTCTATTCACAGTGAGAGAGGCGCTTAGTGAGGATTACTGTGTAGATGTGTGGAGGATGCTGCTATAATAGTCATCTATCTCCCTGTGGCTTTGTTCTGCCTTCTCTCTCAAACTTACCTCTCCATCATTATGACTCTTGCCAACTACACAGAGATCCACATTCTCCCGAGGACTTTGGGGAAATGCAAGAAAATCTCCATCTGAGAAGTAGAAGTTATTTGACAGCATATACATGTTTCCCATGGAATCAATACGGAGCAGTTTCCACAAGTAGAAATGCAGTTTCTTACTCCTCAGAGCTACAAGGAAGGTTTGAAATAGATGTAAGTTATTGCAGAAACAGTATGATATTAGCAAATGTTTGTAGAAGACTGACTCTCTAATATCAGAGTGGAAATGTTCCCCGCTTTTTTAATATTATCTGGAGGCATAACAGCAGACGAGTTGTAATGCCTACCTCATAATGTTATCTTTTCACCCTCTGTCTGAAACCAGAGCCCAGTCTGCTCTGATTGGTTAGCTGGCCAGCTCTGTTGTGATTGGTCAACTGCTTAGAGATGTCCCACCTCTTAGCTTATCACATAAGATGTGTGGGAGAGAAACTCCCTCTGGAGGGAACTTTGGGATTGTAGCCTTTGCAGACCATTAACATGCACAAAGACCTACGTATATAACAAACTACAGGAAATGGAAACCCCCCAAAAGCATAATAAGGCCTCTTTTACTTTGTTTAGTACTTGTTAAATGTCTTTACAATTTGTCAGAAGTATATTACTACAAGCAACTAACTAACCAAGTCAAATGTATTGCGCAGTGATTGTATTTAGAAAAATGTGATTGAGCTCACTGATTAGAAATATTGTTATAAACATTTCTTATATCAGGGGAAATAAACGTGATGACCACCAGCCTGACAGATGGATTGTCTTAAAGAAAGTGAAAACACTTTGCAGTTTCACACTCGCAGCACTTCCATCTCTCTCCGTCTCCTTCGCTCGCACTCACTTGTCAGATTTCTCGCTTCTTCTCACTCACAGGCTCACCGACACATAATTGTGTGTTTCACAAAAGGGAAGAAGAAATGTGAGCCGCAGGCAAGCAATGTGTGTGAGTACTGTTCCCTCGCAATAATCAATAAATACTGTAGCAGCGGGGGAGAAATCAAATTAGTACATACAGTATTGTACGATGGGTTCTTTATCTTCATGTTATTACATGACAATTGCGGCAGTTCTGTACACAAGAAAGACAAATAATGACTACGCAGATTTCACAATAATGCCATTATTTCTAAGTTAGAAATGCATTGTCGAGGTGTTTTTCATAGAAACACTTATATAACATTTAATATGTTCTAGGGTGGACTCTCAGCTATAGTGGAAAGAGTTACAGCACATCCATGCTAGTGTGGTACGCAGCTATTCTTGTAATTTATATATTGGCCACCAAGGGAATGTTAGCCATCTGACCTAGATATGTGAGGATGGCACAGTTTCGCCAGGTGCTCGGGACACAGCAGTCTCCTTGTTTTTCTCCCAGCACAAACCTTTGAGCACTTAAATATTTTAAATACTTCTGAAATTTTGATGGGTCCATGGATGGCAGTGACTGTAAGAAAGTGCCGGAAGAGAGGATTGTTGCTGGGGGAGGATGTTCTGTATGCTAATACAGGTCTGACCTGCTGTTGGAGCGATTTGTTGACCCCAGGTTGATGCTGAGGAAAGTTAAGCATTTTAGTCGAAGAAAGAAAGTCTTTAAGCTTTTAAGATGGATTGATATTATATTTGTAGACAAAACAAACCACCTGAATTGTGACGGGGATTTTATCAGCTTGACGTGTAATAGAATAACTGCAACACTGTATTAAAGAAGCCTTATACATAACACAATAGGCTTTTTGATGTTTACCTTTCCTGTAGTGTGTTTTGTAGGTTTTGTGTGCATGTAAATGGTCTGCAAAGGCTAAAATCCCAAAGTTCACTCCAGAGGGAGCTTCTCGTCCACACCTCCCCCTCTGCCTGACACGCCTCCATTGGACTCCTTTGTTTCCTTCTGTAAAACAATGACATCACCATCTTACACTCTCGCTTCTATTGGCTAATGCTTCAACACATTGTACGTGATAGGCTTAGAGGCGGTACATCCATAAGCGTTTAGCCAATCACAACAGAGACGGCCAGCTAACCAATCAGAGCAGACTGGGCTCTGGTTTCAGACAGAGGGTGAAAAGAGATGCTGCAGCAGTATGAGAAAAATAAAGACCTTTCTGAACATTAAAGCAGGTAAAGATGACACAGTAGAGACACAACATACAAATATGAACTGTGCAAATGTGCTCAATAGGGCCATTTGAATAGGTTACTGAGTGTATCTCTGACTTTCAATGTCAGTCTTTAAAAGTGGATTACGGTACTCGTTTTTGGTTGCGTTTCCACTAGGCGTAGTTCCGGCTAGTGGGTACTTTTTCACGGTTTTCTGGCTCTCCTAAATCGAGGTTCTTTCCGGGCAAACAACCGGGCTGAGTATGCTAAACTATTGAGGGAATCGCTACAGCAAAATGAACATATTTGACCGTGATTTAATTGTAATACAGGTTTCAAAATGATGCGGAAGTAACAACATACTGATACCGGTTAGTAAAAACCATGAATTAATGCTTTGACTAGTCTGCAGACAGACGGCAGGCAAAAACCTTTTAAAATGCGTGTTTTCTGAATGGAGATTGGCTAAGCTAACGCAGTATATGCTCCGACCNAGACTTGAGACTTATGGCGCATTTCCACTACAGCGCGGAGCTCGCTTTAAGCGTGCCGTGCCCGGCCCATTTTTGGTTGCTTTTCCACTTGGCGTAGTTCTGGCTAGCGGGTCCTATTTCAGAGTTTTCTGGCCCCATAAAATCGAGGTTCTTTCCAGGCCAACAACCAGGCTGAGTCGGGCTGAGTATGCTAAACTAGAGAGAGAATCGCTGGCAAGGGGGCTACAACTACAACAGAATGAACATATTTGACCGTGATTTAATTGTAATACACGTTTCAAAATGATGCGGAAGTAACAACATACTGATACCGATTAGTAAAAACCATGAATTAATGCTTTGACAAGTCTGCAGACCGACTGCAGGCAAAAAACCTTTTAAAATGTGTGTTTTCTGAATGGAGATTGGCTAAGCTAACGTTGTATATGCTCCGACCGTCCACACTCACAACGGCCTACAGACATAAATAAACCAGTGACTGTATTCGTCATAACACAGACAGTCTGTGGTTTGTACTTGTTTAACTTTTGTCTAGTTTCTGAACAGATAGGAGGAGCTGTGAGCTTGAGTGCTAACAGCTAACGGTTGTTTTTCTGTGGTTCTCATTGAAGATGACGTCACGGCTCCGCCTACACTGCGTAACTATAGTTACTGCCCCAGCTACGTAATGGAAACGCAGCATAAAGTGAGCCAGTCCTAACAAGGCCTAATGAGGCCTAGCCGTACAAAGCGAGACCGAGCGAGGCGCCATTACTTGTGATTTAAGTCCAAAGATTTGTGACTTACTTGTGATTTAAGTCCAAAGACTTGAGACTTACTTGTGACTTACAAAACAATTACTTGGTCCCACCTCTGATAGAGAGTATCCTGACTGGCTGCATCACCACCTGGTATGGCAGCTGCACCGCCCTCAATCGTAAGGCTTTACAGATGGTGGTGAAAACTACACAGCACATCACCAGGACGGAGCTGCCATCCATGGAGGACCTATACTCCCAGCGCCAACATCTCCATACTGATAATGTTTTATTTCCTGAAGTATACAGTAGGATTTTCAGTCGAAAGGTAGGGGTTCGGCATCTTCCAGAAGCTGAACACCTGGATCCAGATGTGTTTGGTCAAAAACACTAACAACAGCCAGTGTGTGATTTTGACTCATATTTTACTGGTTTTCCCAATAGGAAGCATCACATGTTTCACGACAATGAGAAAAGCACAAATAATGAGAAATCAGCTATGAAAGAAGTACAGTTTAGCAAAGTGATTTACATATAACATGAGACAAAAGCAATGACATGCCACAGCGGCTTATCAAACAGAAATATGTGTCATTCAGTGTCAAACAGCATGCCATTACACTGCAGTGCAGTTAAAGGAATACAAATGCAATACAATCAATTGTCAGGATGTATGCCATAGTTTTGTATGTGGGCAACATACATTATTTTCCATAGAACCTCCCTACTTCTCAAAGAACAAAGACATCGCCTTTAAAGGACAGATTTGAGAAGAACTGTGAACTTAAGAGTCCTTTCAAGCCACTTGAAGAGTTTGTGTTGCTAACCACCCTCAGACACACATACTATGACCACTAATTAACTAAGACTAAATAAATCAATATCAATAACACTGCTAAATTCTTCCAAAATACTAAGTTGAAAATGCAAAAGTCCTGTCCCCATAGTGTCAGGTTCCGCCTCTGTCTGATCGGTAACAGCATAGAATGAGTCAAGTGATTCCTCCTGCTTTATGTCTATACACTAAATCCCTCCTCAACTGTCTCTGCACAGGATGCACTGAGTTAAACTCTTAGTCAGATACCACTCCAGAAGATTCCTCAAAAGTTGTTAAGTTCCTTAAATAAAAGTCTTACAGCACATGGTCTAAAGCTTTTTAGCATTATCACGTACTGGTCTTGCTAATACAAAGTAAAAACCATGAGTGGAGCTCAGTGGACAGGACTCAGTTCAAGGTCAACCCCTCAACTAATTTGGCAGCAGTAACAGTAAAATAACATATGCAATCATAAGAGAATCAATAAATAGCAAAATAAATAGAAATGTGACATTTCCTTTCCGTTCTTAGTCTAAAGTCATGGCTACATCTCCTGTACAGATAGGCTGACAAGTGCGGACCCCCCCCCC